TATAAAGACTTGAAATGGCACCGAAAAACATAATCTGTATGTTTACAATTTAATCTGCCATGATGCTTCATCGCAAATGTTTATAGGATTACTGGGTAGTTTTTTTTTTATTATCTTGTTGCCCCAAATAAGTCTAGAGCCTTGTGTACTTTTTTTTCCCATTATGCACCAGAAACAAACAGATAAACAAATAAACAAGTAAACAAATTAAAAAAATCATATTCAATCTAATTTAATTTATATATCGTAAAATCACAACGGCAATCACCTCAAGATGGTTTGTATTCAAAGGTAAAGACCCTACAACAACTAGAGAGAAAACCCCAATGATCAAACAACCTCTTTGAAAAACGCGCTTGGCTACAGTGGGAAGGAAAAACTCCCTTTCAAGAGGAAGAAGCCTCAGACAGAACCAGTCTCAGGGAGGGGCAACAATCTGCTGAGACCAGTCTGTGACCCAACTGATCTCAACTGATCGTTGTGTCCCTGTCACACACTTATTTCTCAGCTCTTTGGGAGATTTTTTTCTTTCTGCTGTAAATGGCAGGAAACACTATGACCTCATTTTTGGTTGCCATAATTATGTTTCTTCAGTGGCAGCAGAACATGTTTTTAAGACTTCAGAAATGCTCACAGTTAATTAAAATCTTTAAGTGATAGTGAAATAGCCATTAGTAAGTAAAGTTAAAAAAAAAACTAACAGTTGTATGTAAAGCATTACTGTCTCCATTCAAAAACAATCTCATACTGTGAGCAGACATGCAGATACTGCAACTAAGCATCTGGTGCATGCACCTCAAAGGTCAAGTGCTCTGTTTCCTGCACTCTTTAGCTGGGCTAAAAAAGATTTTCCAAAAACCTAAGACAACTATTTCCTCCTGTGTACTACACCTGTTATGGAGGACATCTTAACCTGAGTCTCCCAAAATTATCTGACATTTGTGTGAAAATTGCTTAACGATGGCAGTAGTACTAGTAGTACTGTGAAATTATGTAAATGTGCTACCCTCAGTCTCCACCAGTGTGATCATTGCTAGCTAATTTAAACTAGCTAAGGATACCTTTTAGATGACCTAGTATTTTATTTTAAATATAATTAAATTTTGATTTCAATGAGAGTTTCCCTTGACGATTTACCTGTGTTGTTTTTCGCAGGTACATTATGTTTGTGACCGTGATGATGACACAGTGAACTATGAAAATGTGAGAAACAGGACAGCTGATCGTGAACTGGACTGAACGTCAGAGCACCACCTTCTGTTAACCAGAACAAAAATGAATCTTTGTTTTTAATTAGATTTTTCTATTTTAAAAAATAATATCTTTTTTTTTAATGCTTCATAATCTCATGACATCTTTTTGAATATTGACCAAACTACGTATAACAATATTGCTTGCGTAACAAAACATTGCTTACATGAGCAATGTCCTGAAGTCAGGTTTTGTCATTTTCAGTCAAATTTGTGTTGCACTTACTGCAAATAATATGCTTCAAAACAAGGAAGTTCTCACTTTCCTATTTTGTAATCTGTTGTTCTCTTGCATTTCGTTTGAAAGTTTACCTCTCCACCTGTGTTCAATCAGCCAGTCACTCACCGACCATACACTTTGTTGTTATGGTTGTTATTACCATACTCTTTGTTTAAAAGTAAGCAGCGACTGTGTCCTGCACTGCTTCTGAAGTCCTGCTTTGGACTGTGGACCCCGTTTTGGACGGTCACAACCTAAATAAGTTCACCACTAAAATAATGCCCCCCCCCCACACACACACACACACACACACACACACACACACACACACACACACAGGGGAAATTTCATCAGCCCTGTAGTTCTGTAGCCTTCTTTCTTTTCTGACTGTGACTGTGGAGCATCAGAATGGACACGATAATAGATACACCTGTAAATTTGGTGAGGAAAAACCATGGGATGATACAATCTTGCTACCCACATGTCATCATGGCCAGGATTATTTAAAAAAATTAATTAACCTAAGATATGCAAATTCAGTGTGGAGTTTTACTCTAGTCTCCAAGTGCTTTATTGGCTACAATAGTACAAGGAAAAGAGATGTATGGGAAAAAAAAATGTTTCAGCGATCATTGCAGCGATCAGTCTCCTGTAACCATGACATGGGGGCTCTTCACTTTGAAGGACTTAGTGTGAGATTGTAATCAGTGTTCTTGTCGAGTGAGACAATTCAAATAATACCTATATTAAGCAGATTTGAGCCTAATCACTGCTGCTTCTTTTACCATGAAGGATAAATCCCTTTGAAGACATCAATGTGAGTTAACAAAAAAAAGAACTTCAAATTTTCAGAGTTCAAAGTTCATGAAATGTGTTTAAATTGTTCAAATACTGACAAAACTATAAAAACTTGTATTACAAAACTGAACCTCGTGGAATCCTGTTTAGTTTTTTTCAAAGCTACACATCCTGCCTCATTCGGTGAGTTCTGAAGTTTAAATGTTTTTTGAATTAAGGAAGTTATTCATGTCAGTTGTGCTGCTTCTTGGTCAGAACTTTTGACTCCTGAAGATAAGTGAAGCTGAAAGCCAAAGTTCCTGTCTCATTCTGTAAATCTAAGCTGTCCCTCTCAGAAGGTGTCAAGGTAAGTTATTTAAGCCTCATTTTAAATTCATGTGATAAAAATATGACTTTTGACACACCTGCATCACAAATTGTTTTGTTTTAGCCAAACCATCGCTGTATCTGTGATCTTGGACATAGCACAGTACCCATTATGTTTTTATAATATTCAAGACTACTGTTAAATACTTTGAACTTTACTTTTAAGACACACACACACATTCCCATATTGATATCCAGTGTTGGGAAGGTTACTTTTAAAATGTATTCCGTTACAGAATACAGAATACATGCCCCAAAATGTATTCTGTAACGTATTCCGTTACGTTACTCAATGAGAGTAACGTATTCTGAATACTTTGGATTACTTAA